TGATTTCCCGGGATAACAGCCCTGATCTCCCAGGATAACAGCAGTGATTTCCTGGGATAACAGCCCTGGGATAACAGCCTTGATTTCCCTGTTTGGAGCTTGTGATCTCCTGGGATAATGGCAGTGATTTCCCAGGATAACAGCCCTGATCTCCTGGGATAACAGCCCTGATTTCCCGGGATAACAGCACCGATTTCCCGGGATAACAGCCCTGATTTCCTGGGATAACAGCCCTGATCTCCCGGGATAACAGCACCGATTTCCCGGGATAACAGCACCGATTTCCCGGGATAACAGCACCGATTTCCTGGGATAACAGCCCTGATTTTCCAGGATAACAGCCCTGATCTCCCGGGATAATAGCCCTGGGATAACAGCCCTGATTTCCCAGGATAACAGCACTGATCTCCCGGGATAAGAGCACTGATTTCCCGGGATAACAGCGCCGATTTCCCGGGATATCAGCCCTGATCTCCCGGGATCACAGCGCCGATTTCCCGGGATAACAGCACCGATTTCCCGGGATAACAGCACCGATTTCCCGGGATAACAGCCCTGATTTTCCGGGATAACGACCCTCATTTCCCACTTTAGAACTTGTAATCTCCCGGGATAGCCCCAGTCTCTCCCCTCCGGAGCCAGCCCGGCCTCGAACCCGCGGCCTCGCGCTCCCCAGCCCGGCGCGCTGCCCCTGCGCCACGGCCCGGCCGCGGGGAGGGGGGGGCACCGGGGGGCGCGGCGGGACGGTGGCGCAGGGGCAGCGCCGCCGCCTGCGGGGCCGAGGGTCGCGGGTTCGAGCCCCGGGGCTGCCCCCGGAGGAAACCGCTGAGCAAGGAACGAATAATGTTCATTATTCAGCATGGAAATTAAAGGTAATTACTCCAAAGTGGCTACTGGAAACGCGTTGTACACATAATTCACTGGGTAAATTAAGAGTAACAACTCCAACAGGAAAAACCTGAGAAGCAACTCTTGAGTTTTTGTGTTTCCTGCAGAACTCGGCGCAGCAAAGTGGGAGAAATTCAATTTTGGTAAAAAATCACCAATTAATTTCCAGCACCTCAGAGGGGTAAGGAAGGCTCCCCACATAATTCACTATTTAACACATAATTCACTGTGTAAATTAAGAGTAACAACTCCAACAGGAAAAACTCGAGCTGCAGTTGTTGAGTTTTTGTGTTTCCAGCAGAACTCAGTGCAGCAAAGTGGCAAAGGAGAAATTCAATTTTGGTAAAAAATCACCAATTAATTTCCAGCACCTGAGAGGGATAAGAAACAATAATTCACATAATTCACTTTGTAAATTAGGAGTAACAACTCCAACAGGAAAAACTCGAGCTGCAGTTGTTGAGTTTTTGTGTTTCCTGTAGGACTCAGCGCAGCAAAGTGGGAGAAATTCAGGATTGGTAAAAAATCACCAATTAATTTCCGGCACCTCAGAGGGGTAACAAAGGCTCCCCGTGGTCTGAGTGTGAGGAATTTTTGGAGGAAAAAAAGGGGAAAAAGCAGCAAAAGAGGGGGCACCTGGAGTTGAACCAGGGACCTCTTGATCTGCAGTCAAATGCTCTACCACTGAGCTATACCCCCTGACACTTTTGCCAGGGAAATTTAAAATATTTATTGGGAAATTAAAAATTTTCCTGTCCAGGGATTGGATTTCTTCCTTTGACAGCTCCAGGGAGCGCCTGGCAAAGCTACAGGGAGTTCAAGGTGATAATTGATCTTAAAAATTATATTTTTAGTAACATTGAAGAACTAAAATAAAGCATTAATACATAAAATCAATCACAAAATTTAATAAAGAAAATTTTAAATGAATTCTGGTGGTGATTTCAGAGAATGAAGCACAGAGCAGAGCACGGCCCCAGAATTTTTCCAGCAGCAGAACCTCTGTTCCTGGGGTGCTGCAGCTCAGAAGCAGCACTGAGTGCACAGCTCAAGCTCAGAGTTTTCCATCTTTCCATGGATTTTTCCTGTGCCAAATTTTTGGGAAAATTAAGAGGAAAATAGGAAAAAAGAGAGGGGGCACCTGGAGTTGAACCAGGGACCTCTTGATCTGCAGTCAAATGCTCTACCACTGAGCTATACCCCCTGGCACAGCACCTGCAATAGGAAAGTTCAAAATATTTATTGGAAAATTAAAAATTTTCCTGTCCAGGGATTGGATTTCTCCCCTTGACAGCTCCAGGGAGTGCCTGGCAAAGCTACAAGGAGTTCAAGGTGATCAATGATCTTAAAAATTATATATTTAATAGAATTTAATGGCTAAAATAAAGGATGAATACATAAAATCAATCACAAAATTTAATAAAGAAAATTTTAAATGAATTCTGGTGGTGATTTCAGAGAATGAAGCACAGAGCAAAGCACAGCCCCAAAATTTTTCCAGCAGCAGAACCTCTGTTCCTGGGGTGCTGCAGCTCAGAACCAAACCCCACCAGCTCAGAGCTCCCCAGGGATTCTTCCTGTGCCAAATTTTTGGGAAAATTTAGAGGAAAATAGGAAAAAAGAGAGGGGGCACCTGGAGTTGAACCAGGGACCTCTTGATCTGCAGTCAAATGCTCTCCCACTGAGCTATACCCCCTGTCCCAACTCACAACAAAAAATATAAATAAAATCCCTTTTTATAAATAAAATCCCAGTTTTTATTCCCACTGCAGGAAAATCCCCGAAATTTTCTCCCAAATCTGCACAGAAACAAATGGTGAGTGTGGGCTCTGTCACCCCCCAAAAAAAAATTTGGATTTCTGCAGGATTTTTCACTCGGTTTTTAATCCTGGAGCTGCCAGCCCTTCATTGGTACACGGGAAGGAAAATGAGCACCACACAAGAGCTTTAAACATGATACAGAATTCTGTATTTTCCCCAGAAAAAAAATTTGTTTTAATTAAGAAATTAAACTATCAAGTGTTTATTTTAGTCCTCCTTGAGCCTGCAGGGAAAGAAACACCAGGCTAAGTAATGAACGGGATCAAATCCTCATCTTCATTTTACAAAAATTCCCGACCTCAGGAGATTCTCAAAGCTTCCAAAGGTAATTTCTACATTTCTTTCTCTTTTGGAAGAGGTACAAAATGCAAATTTGGCATCTAGCAAACCCCTCCAGGGATTTCTTTGTGATTTGTGTGAGCGCAGGCACTGGGGGTATAAAAAAGGAGGAATCTTCCTCATTTTTCCATGGGAAAAAAAGGGAAAAGAGGGAAAAAGAGAGGGGGCACCTGGAGTTGAACCAGGGACCTCTTGATCTGCAGTCAAATGCTCTACCACTGAGCTATACCCCCTGACATGGCTTTTCAACAAAGAAATTTAAAATATTTATTGGGAAATTAAAAATTTTCCTGTCCAGGGATTGGATTTCTTCCCTTGACAGCTCCAGGGAGCGCCTGGCAAAGCTACAGGGAGTTCAAGGTGATCAATGATCTTAAAAATTAAATTTTTTAATAGACTTTAATAACTAAAATCAATAATTTTTACAAAAATCATTCACGTAATTTAATAAAGAAAATTTTAAATGAATTCTGGTGGTGATTTCAGAGAATGAAGCACAGAGAGGAGCATGGCCCCAAAATTTTTCCAGCAGCAGAGCCTCTGTTCCTGGGATGCTGCAGCTCAGAAGCAGCACTGAGTGCACAGCTCAAGCTCAGAGTTTTCCTTCTTTCCATGGATTTTTCCTGTGCCAAATTTTTGGGAAAATGTAGAGGAAAATAGGAAAAAAAGAGAGGGGGCACCCGGATTTGAACCGGGGACCTCTTGATCTGCAGTCAAATGCTCTCCCACTGAGCTATACCCCCTGGCACAGCACCTGCACCAGGGAAATTCAAAATATT